GTGTGAAAAGGTCGTGGGGAGATATCAACAGCAGTGGGAATCTGGATTTGTGATAGTGGTGGGATATTTGCAGGGTTTTCAGTGTAGTTAGTGGGGAATGAAGGTGGAGGATGCCCCCTGATCCAAGACTGATACATTTCTGTCATCTGCTGTTTCACCCTTTGGACCTCCTCTTTCAATTCAGGCTCCGACTCCACAAACTCCCTTGACGGGTCAACAACTCTTGTGCCCATTTTTTTCTAGCCATGACTACCTTGCCCTTTGACCTTGTGTTGTATGGACGAGTTACCTAAAGAATCACAAACCAACCACCCTTCTGCTATAATGAGGAGAACAAAGAGGAACAAAATGAAGTCATCATGTTAGCGTTAGAGCATTTAACAGCTAAAAATATCACATTTCGTGCAATGCACCTAGCAACAATTAATGGTTCAAGAATGACTTCGAGGGTCACAAGGTCACTTGTCATCACCCCAATTTGTCCATTTGAATCTTCTAGTTTCTTTTCTTTTCTCGCACTTCGTAGCTCGCTCATTCCTTTTTTTTCTTTCTGATTATCGCTTTTTTCTTCTCTCTCATTTCTCACATCCCATGATTTCACCCCTTTTTTGGTTGTTTTTTTCTTCTTTTTTTTCTTTTAATAAATAAAAAGAATGATTCGATCGAATCCTATGTAGGTTGCCTACGTATTATGACGCCGCATGAATCAGATCTTTGCGTAGTTCTGGAAGATCGAGAATAAAGTAAACAAACTAACATTCTCTTCTTTTCTTTTCTTTTTTATCTTAATGACTATTCTGATGAGAAAAGAGAAATAAAAGAAGCAAATACTTTTTTCTTTTTGAATTTTCTAGACTTAATGTTCTATAACTTATTCTAAACTCAAGCTTAACGAGCATATTTTTTTTTTTGCTTTTTGAAACAAAACACCTTATGGGAGATTATTAAGGCAAAAAAACCCTACAAGAGAAAATATTTTTTGATTCTTTCTTTTCTTTTTTTTAGAAAGGAAATCTAAAGAATAGACAAAAGAAAAATATTTTGAATTTTCATTTGATATCCTGAAAAAAGATTTCGAATAAAAGAAATGGAAAATATAAAAATATTTTGGATTTCAATTTTTGATTACCTAAAGACGAAACTCTAAAGATAAACAAAAGATAAAATGTGCCTTTTTTTTTGGTATACAATGTCCTAAAATTCTAGTGCAAATAAAAGAATATATTTTTTGTTGTTATATATATATATATATATATTTCCCAAAGAAGAACCTCACAAGAAAATCTTTTTGGATTTTCGAATTTATTATTTTTTTAAAAGAAAACTTCTAGAGAGGTATGAAAAGAAAATTCTCTTTTTTTTTGAATTTTTAATCTTAATATACTAAACATAAAAGCAATTTTAATTCAATAAAGCAAAACCACCTCAAATGATTTTTTTTTATTCATAGAATTAATATTCTAAAGAAAACTTCTAATGGAAATATAAAACGCAACATCTCCTTTTTTGGGATTTTTGATTTATATCACACTTTTTCAAATACAAAATAGAAAGTACAATAATAAAAAAAACTCGACATTACTATACAAAACTCAAAACATAAAAAATAAAAAGAAAGATCTTCTTAAGCAACTCCTGAATAAGCGATCCTGACTGGATGGTCACGAGATGTCTGTCATGCTCAAAACCCGGTAAGTAGATCCACAACTGTATGAAAAAACTCAAACCAACACTAGGTGAGACAATAATACTCCGTATTGGACACATGCAAGACATAATTGAGGCTATTTTTGCAAAATAGCTTATTTGGCCAAAAGGTGGCTAGAAGTGCAAATTTTGGCTATGACCCAGCAACGCCAAGAACCTAAGATTTACTAGGAAGACCAGACCCTATGTGGGTTGCCTACGTATTACGCCCCGAAAGACGAGAATCAGGTATGCATAGTTCAGGTAGATTGGATACGGGCGACAAATAAAAATAACAACTAATTTAGAGAAAAAAAATATTTTTTGTCTTTTGTTTTGAAAAAAATGATGAAACATGTAAACATCTTTTTGGATTTTTTTTTCCTTTTTTTTAAAAAAAATGACAGGGAAATGCAAACTTTTTGTTTTTGGATTTTTTCATTTTCAATTTTTGGTTTTTTTTTGAAAAGGTGTGTAAGAAAATTATAACTGGGTCCCATTTGCTTCATTTTTATACTTCAACCTCTTTTCTTTCTCATTTTTTTTCATTTGCCCTCAACTACCATTGGTCCGCCAAATGACCCTTTTAAACTTGAAGAAATGCAACATGTAGTACGTAGGATGCATCAGATGGTCTGTTATTTTGGGTACACCTGTCCTAGACGGACCCAACCCCTGTGTTAAGTCCCCAAAGTCAGATACACGTGATGCAAACAAGTGTTCCTACTAGGGATCCGACATGAGGCTATGTTATTCTAGGTTTAAAAACCTGAATTTATTTGTTCTAGTCCTGGCTTACCCGAGCAGACAGCTCGAGCCAGGGGGCAGCGTACCGGGAATATAGAAGCTTCACCGGCTTTGTAACTTGTCCGAACCTCGTTCTAAAATTAGGATATGACTCTAACAGAAAAGAAGTCACACGAAGTGCACACTTCCCAGATGATTTAGAAGACTCAGAGAGAGGAGGGTTTCGTAACAATTTATGTACAGTCCAAACAATATCAAAGCGGTAAAAAACAACATTTAGCACATTAGGACCAAACATGTAATAAAACCAGATAATAAATAAAGCAAAATATAACAATTATTCTAAGCTCGAATTCTGAACCCTGAACTTCAGGGTTCAGGGTTCTTATCCCCAGCAGAGTCGCCATAGCTGTCACACCTCCTTTTTCCACATCCCAAAGAAGGGTATAAGGGAGTTTTTCCAATTAAAGTGACAATCGAAACAGGATTATCTATTTTAAATTCAGAGTCACCACTTGGGATGATTTATGGTGTCCCAAGTCACCGGTTTCAAATCCCTAATCGAGGAAAGATTGACTCTATTTTACAGTCCGCGAACACAGAAATTCGGGTAAGGAATTCTGTTAACCCGGGAGAAGGTGTTAGGCATTCCCGAGTTTCGTGGTTCTAGCACGGTCGCTTAACTGTTATTATTGGCCTAATTATCTGATTTTAAAATGCTTTTAAGCCTATGTGCATTTTTAACTTTGAAACCGCTTTATTATTTAAAGAATTAATTCAAGGTTATTTAAAACATATCGCAAGCCATGCTACATGAAATGCACCTGTGATTCACGACACGTTCTATTTAACCTTGTTGGAAATTAGACCCGGGCCACATGAAATATACCCCCAGATTTAAGTAGTAGCCATGATAATTATATAATTAATGCGCCTAAAGCAAACTACAAACATTATTTACTCTATATTACTTATATACACATATCAAGAACAACGGTAAATTAAAGAGTGATTAGATCACAAAACAAGGCTGCAAAATATGTTTTTTATTCTCGAGCCAACTTTGTACTACAACTCTGTGAAAATTGCCCCTTGTAAAGTAAATTATACACTTCCTTCAAAGATGATTGATTTACCACAATGGACAAAGGATTAAAATTAGAAAAAAGATAATTCAGTAACAGTAGTAGTTACTATTACTCAACCAAAAAAGAACTCTTTTCCTAACTTAACGACAAATAGTTAAATCCATTCAACGAGGAAGTCTTATAGTATAAAAATTATTGACTAGCGCTAAAACTGTACGGAAATGAATGGCAGTCATGCGATAGCCCCTTTTACGTTTGTTCAACCTAGCTAGGAGTATTTTGTCCACTCCTCAAAGCCACCATACACACAAAATAAAAGATGAAACACCCATACCATGCGAATTACATGAACAAAACCAATTCAGAGAAGCAAAAATTAATCAAGATCTTTCACCAGACAAGTAAAAAGAATATGAGTAAAATAAACACAAGGAAGAGAACCTGCAGTATTACAAAGCAAAGTACTTATTTGATGTGATTATAACAATCCTCCTCCAACTTATACAACAACTCGTTAGAACTATAACCAAACATCGTCGACCTCATCAACAGAACCTCGGACGACGACCACCTCAACGACGGGTTGGATTTTTCAAAGACCTTGGGGCTGTTTCATGGCGTTAAAGGGTGGTTTAGGAGCTGGTTTTAGGTTGAAGCAACAATGGACAAGAGATGGGAGACGACGACAGTGCGGATGAAGCTGGTGAGAGATTTGGCGGGTATGCGACTGAAGCAGTGACGTTTCACATGGATTTTTCGACTGTGATTACACACTAGAATTTCATTGGATTTTAGGTGGGTTTTGGCTAGGATTTTGGGGTGTTTTATGGAGCTTGACTATGACTGCTTGGTAAGCAATGCATATTATAAATAACTACGTACATCCCAATATTTTTTTTGTAAGTTTTTAATGAGGCACATTATCTTACATGGACATCCAAGGGGGAGTGTTATGAATTGTTTGTACATTGGATACTAAGAGGTTGTGAGTTCGAGTCTACCCAAGAGCAAGGTGGGAAGTTCTTGGAGGGAAGGATGCCGAAGGTCTATTTGGAAACAGCCTCTCTACCCCAGAGTAGGGGTAAGGTCTGCGTACACACTACCCTCCCCAGACCCTACTAAGTGGGATTATACTGGGTTGTTGTTGTTGTTGTTATACTACTTTGGATACTACATTAGATGCTACATTGGATGCCCATGTTGTGAATAACTTAAAGATTAAATTTCTTACTTTATGTCCATCATCTTTACTTTTTATGCCTATAAAAGGCCATGTAATTGTAATGAAAAAATACACCAAAGTAAAAGAAGAAAACACTTCTCCCTTCTTTCTATTTCTTCTTATCTACATTTTACTACACTACTTTTATTTTATTAGAGGCGCTAAATTTTCCCGCTCTTTTTTTGCAACCCGCAATCAGCCCACGCACCCCCTCAACTCTCCCCCCCCCCAAAAAAAAAAACGAAAGAGTACAGTTACGTAAAGCAGAGAGCTAGTATCTCAAAAATTGAACACTTCAAAGAATTACAATTTGGGTTCTTCTCTGCAACCTAGGGTTTCAATCTCCTTCTCGTCAAGGTAAGCTCTAAACTTGCAGTCAATTATTTTGTTCAAACATGTGTATAAGTTGTCGAAAGAATGACTTATTTTGTCCAAATTTGGATTGAAGTTGTTGAAAGATCAATCTCTTAAAATTATGTTTATTTTTATACCAATTATAGTGTGCTGCCAAATTTGCATATTAGTTGTTGAAGGAATGTCTAAATCACCCGTCAGAGCCTTATTCATCATAGGATTTACTGGAAATCATTGGAAATTTCTTTAATCCTTGTTGCATATATTCATTAGAGTTGATTCTTAAACATCTATACGGAGTTATTGAAGGGTGCTTTGTAAGGATTAATTATTTTTGTGGTTTGAAATTGGGCATATTTTTATGTTATCAGTTCTCTCTCTGTTTTTCAAATACTGGGTTGCATCTTATAATTACATATGCTCCAAACTTATAATTATATGTAGGTTTTATGACATTACTGATGAATTCGCAGAAGTTGGTTCTTTATTTTCATTGAAAATTGCTCGTTATAGGTCAATTATGTGTATTCGTCTTGTAGAGCATTATGTTTTGGAACTGGGTTTGATTGCATATTATTATTGGAACAAAAGGCTTCTCAATATCTGGGCATGATTGTATTGTAAAATTTTCTTGTGAAATAAGAATTCTCTAACTTTCTCCTTAATTATATTATCTGCAGACAAAAAAAAAAAATCATTTTTTGGGTTTGGCATGCTCAGTATTTGCCTTTCTATGTAATCAAAAGGACAATGATGGTTTGGTTAGGATATTTGTAAGATTAAAAAGGTTACACCTACAGTAAGATCATTTATATTAGCTCCACCTTACGAAAGCAATCAAATTATGGCCAAATCCCTTGTTTCCTCATCTCTTGATGGACTTACTTCATCTGACATTCCCACATTGTATGAATTAATTGGAGTAGTTCGTTTTTTGGATTTTCTTGTTTTTTAGCGATCTTCTTTTTAACTTTCTAGTTCTTCTCTTATTATACTGTGAAAGAATCAGACAATTATGTAGAGCTCATCATGATCACGTTTGTTTCCTGTACTATAAAGCAAATGGTACTAATTTTTATAAGAGTAGAATTGTATGTGTTTAGAAAAATGCTCCTGTCAAATTAATTCCTGAAGTGGGATCCCCTCTGCCTCCACATAAAAAAAGACACCCTCATTCAAACATAATTTTTAATAGTTACAAGCTTTAGTTGCTGCATTTAAGTATTTCAACTGAAAATATAGTTGTCTATGAAATTTAGCCAAAGACTTTAGTTGCCTTTCTATTTTAAATAAGATTATATTGTAGGAGAAGTCTACATTATGGTGTGCAAAAGAGATACATTTTTGAGGCAAAATTAGGAGAAATACAGTTCCATTAGAAACCACACAAGTATCTGGATCATCACTATCGTCATATCGACAAAGCTAAGGCACTAGTAGTTGTTCTTTTTTTTTCATCTTCATGTGCCTGCTAATGTGGTAATTGTATCGTAGAACAATTGTTTGGTGATTTCTCTTTGCTGCCTTTAGTTTTAGCTGTTAGGAACTAGTTCTGGCTATTTTCCATTTTCATTATCTAGTTATTTATGATTGATCAATTTGAAAGCTGAAAAATATATAAATTTGTCTTTGCTGTAAAAAATATTCTTTTTGTTTCATTTAGTATAATGGTTTGGGTTGGGCTAGTGTACTTGGATGTTTGAGACACCATTGTGCTTCTTTTAAAAAAGATTGGTCTGTATTTTTTGCTATTTCTGCACTTAATGGCAATATCTAAAAGTTTTTTAATTAGAAAAAATAAGGAATAACACACAGTACCCTATAGCTGTAATAGCATGAAAGGGAAAGGTCTTTAAAACCCATTGAGTTGTTGCTTATTAACCGAATATATATATGCACTTATGATAAAATTATCTTGCTAACTATCTGTATCTCTAAGTTTCTATGTGTTTTTTGTTTCTGCTAATTTTCTCCAACTATGTTCATTGCCTTCCAGCCTTCGAACTTATTTTCAAGCCATTCACATAAAGATGATTCATCTGAAGAAGCATCTTCCAAGATCAAAGTTCGTCGAAATATAAAACTTATTTGCATATTGTATCTTTCAGATATTATTTTTAGTTAATACATTTAGGTCGGAATGTTCTCTCATGTCTCAAATATAGTCAATGTGCTAGTTGGCATCTCTTTTCTTATTGACAACTTGCTGAAATTTTTTTCTTGTTGCGGTAGCTTAATAATACTCTTCTTTCTTTTGTTGTATTAGGTTGACATGAATCCATCAAAATCTCGAAAATTTGAAATGCAATCAACTTCGAAGACTATTAAGCATTCATACGTTGCACCAGGTGCCTTAGCAATGGGACGAGGGCAAAGCTTTAGATCTTTGGGTTCGGTAAGGATGAATGCTGAACAGAGACTCCCGATTGGAAATAGCAAAAATCGTAATGCAGCAGCTTCTTATCTGAATGAGCTAGCTCAGAATACGAATCTTGCACCTCCTGGTTTTGATCCACTAGAAGATGATGTTTCCCTCCCTCAAGAAGTTGAAGTGATGCAAGACACTCAAAGAAGCAAAATAAGTATTTTTCTGTCTCGATTTATAATATTTTTTTGTTGTTATTGGACTGGTCCTTTCTTTTGTGATTAACTTAAATTTGAAAGTAGCAGGTCCATGTGAATCTGAAAACGCAAAAAAGGTGAGAAGAAATAACAGATGTAAAAATGTTCGAGGACTCAAAGTTGGAGAAAAGTTGAGCGTCACTTTCTACCACAATCGAGTTGTTGGGAAGCATTCAGCTACATTTGTGAGACACTTAGGTATATTAGTTCGTGATCGTAATATGTGTCCACTGCGCGTACACTCCTAGGCGAATATCGAAGAATATAAGCTGGACCACATGTGGGAAGCTGTTACTTTAAGAATTTAAAGTATTACTTTGTTGTTTTGCCTTTTTCTTTTCTTCTTTCACAAATGAAAAGAAAATTAATTTTGAACCTTGTAATCTTACATAATAATAAATAAAGTTTAAAGAAAGTTAGCTCTTTATTTGTTTATCTTGCCCTTCTTTCTTTTCTTCGATTTTTAGATAGTAAAAAAGTACTTGTGAGTTTACATCATTGCATCTGCTTTTCTTTTCTAGTTTGTAAGAGTTCGAAATGAAAATTAAATGGATCGAAACTAATAGTTTTTTGTTCTTTCCAGAAAAAACTCCCAACATCCTAATTCTTCCGTATAATAAACTGAGAAAAACATTCATTTCTCTTTAGCAAAAGTTTCTCAACAATGATATCTTTTCCTATACTCTTTATTGCATTTCTTCTCATCATCAAAGATAGGAAGAAAGACTTCACCGTAATGTTCTTTTGCTGATAATGTATTTTTCAAGCTATTAAACTCATGCATCTTTTTAAGTTTACACTTGAATTTATTTCCATTTTTATCACTATTTTTCTTGTAAATGAATGAAGAATCTCACAAAACCGGAAACTATAGAAAACTGGAAATAAATTGTAGACTTTGTACTAATTTGTATTTGTTGAATCTTGTAAACTTGTTGAAACTACAATTGTTAATATGTTAGTTTAAAGTTCAGTCAATGATTAAGGATATCATCCGTAGATCTGTTCCATTTTGAGTAATAATTAACATCCAAAATAAGATGTTTCCTCCTAATAAAAGCATTTTCTAGAGATGGAAATCTGCAAATGTAAAGAACACATCTATAAACTATATTGATGAATCTGCTCCCTTCTCCTGTTGGCTTGGGAAAGTTAATACAAGATCCAATTATATATGATGTCGAGCATGTTTTCTTATTTACAAATAATGATGTCAAGCTTTTTTTTCCATATTTAATAATCAAATCATCTTAAGAGATGAATTAATTTGTCACTAGTAACTCTCAAATGTTTAATTTAATATTGTTGGTTAAATTTTTCTTTTTTGTTTAGTTAAAACTCTTTAAGTTTTATGTTTGATGATATTCTTAGAATATTATAGGATAAATTTGATAGTGCTGACATAAATGGTCAAAGAGATCATGTCTTGAAACATATGAGAAGGTTATGGAATAATTGGAGGGGATCATTGCACATGCTTGTGAAATCTAAGTCATTGCGCGATGTTCTAAAGGATGTGCCAGAGGGAGTCGGCAAGAGTGATTGGGAATGGTTGGTTAAGGAGCACTTCTTATCTGAAAATTTTAAGGTTTGACTTCATAACAATTTATATCATCTTAGTTTTTTAAGCGGCCGACCGTCCCTTCTATGATATGTTGTTATTATAGGAAAGAAGTACAAGAAACTCAATGAATAAGTCTAAGTTGATATGCCTCATCGTACGGGTAGCAAGCCTATCAGAGAGATTATTTATGAACTCGTAAGTAAATCGTGTTATTGTGTTAAGAAACTCCATCTTTCTTTAAATGATTTGTTTGACTTGTTTATTCAAACGCGAAGGGAGGCAAAGATGGTAATCCACCAGATATGGCAACTGTTTTCTTTGAGACTCATAAGAAGGACGATAAGCTTGTCGAAGTTGAAACCAATGAAAAATATGTATGTTTATTGATAAATTATTTTTTTACCCCTACCTTTGACTAAAAACATTGCATTATCTCAAAGCTGTTATAAATATATTATATTATGGATGTTCATTTAGTACTCCGTTGTAAATAAGCTTCCTGA